AGTCTTCGGCTAAATGCTTCAACTGGACTGTTTAACGGCCGTAACTTTTTTCCGACGCGTCAAATTTGTTCATATTTTGGTAGATTTTGAAGAAAGGCCTTTAACACCGAATCAGCGTATTCTTTGAATGGTAAAACTATTTTGGGAATTCCCGAGGCGTAAAAAATTCCAGGTAGAATTCAAATTAGAATTCAGAAAAAAAAGACTTGCAATTTACGAGAATAAGATGTCGACTGCATCGATCGTGGGCGGAGGCGGGCCAATCGCCCGTCGCTCCCACTCTTGCGCCGAGCGATTGCATCGCGGTGGACAAGCGATGGAGCGATCGCGTCGCTCCGGCACTGGTCCATCGCGATGCAATCGCAGAGTCTGACCGACATCTTAAAGTTACGGCCGAAGCCTTTTAGGCGCTACTGTATGTAACAGGTACACGTACTGAGACGTGCATTTGCCCGTGCAGGAAGTTCAGCGGAACGGGAGAGGCCTTCACACTGATGCCAACTCAGCAGAACTTTTTCGGAAGGCATGACTACTTCTCTTTTGGAAATTCGGCTGAATTTGTGTGATACTGAGCCATCTTTAATGAACATCAACAATTCCTGGCTTTGAGTGAAATTCCTTCCTCTGACGGTGAGCGCGTACTGGTAAGAAAATTGGCGAGCTCCACAGTGGTGTTATCAATATTCTCGTTTCTACTCATGAACTCGCAAGCAGGTCATTCATGTAACTGTAATACCCTCGAAGGTGGAATTCTCAAGGTGAGCTGCTCCTACGAAGTACAGGTAGGTTAAGCTCAAGCATTACTGTACCAATCCGGTTTAGTTGGATTCCTCATCCTGTGATCCTGAAAAAAAAACTGTTTATTACCTGCTGCGAGGGCGTTCTCCAAAAACACGACGCCGTCTTGAACAATGGAATGATGGTACTCCGAATCCACAACACCAAACCATTTCTTTGCAACTTTCACAGCTAATTCATCAATGTCCAAAGCAGTGATGTTAACCTAAAATACAACTACTAACAGGTGTGGAATGAATGAGCCATCATAAAGGTTAGAATACATATTTTTCTCTGTTAAAAAATCGAGCTACACAACTAACTGGCACTCACATACGGTTTATACTCATGTAGGCCCATGTCGAATGTTCCACCGCCAAGCCCAATTTCAAGTACTTGTTTCCCTCTGTCATCAGAGTCCAGGGATAGTGAAGACATCAGGAACGGTGCAGCCACCATAGCTGCCACCTAAGCGGCTCCATATAAGCATATATTGTTCGTGTCAAGGAACGTCAAACATAAGGCTGTCATTTTTCTGTGCATACTAAGCCTAGGCTCTCCCAAAGAGATGAAGCCTCACATATTCTGCGATGAAGAACTTGTGATCGATTGTCCATCCTTGGAAGTCAATGCATTCACTTTCATACGGTTTAATCTTCTCACCTTAATTTACGAATACAGTACATCCTATTTCTTATACTATAGAACATCGCACAGCTGTTTATCACATTGACGCCCGCGTCGATTACGGCGCTTGTCACACATGTGTCATTGGCGATATTGCGTGCGTACATACTCGCGACGCTTTAATCGCCATGTGGGCAGAGTCAACCCTGCGTTGCGCAGTTCGCAACGGCACGTTGAGAGATCCTCAACGCACGCTGTATGGGCGGAGACGCAGACGGCTCGAGCATGCGAGTGTGAATGTTCGCGCGAGAGAACGTGTCTAATCGGGCGAAACTGCGCAACGTGGCCGTTGAGAACTGCGCAACGCAGGGTTGACTCTGCCTGGGGACGTTTTGTGTTTTTTCGTCTTCGGGACCACATAGCAGATTGTGAAATGGGCGCGAGAACGTTCGTTTCTATACAATTATGAATTTTTCGTGTGTTTTGATTGTTGTTACGGTTTGTGCTGGGTTCAAGAAGTGTTTAGCGCGAATTTCCTCGAGCTATCAGACATGTTTATTAGCGAATGTTTTGTTCGACAATAGTTGTCTTTTCAATTGCTAAGAATTCAAAATTAGAAGCGCAAAATTTCGCAATTGATGATAAGTTGTTCAGTAGGTAGGCGTATTAGAATCTGATTGTTTGTGTTGAAATTGAAGTTGTCGACATGCCACACGTTCTACGGATTCATGAGACTAACAGAAGACAATTAGTCAAAGAAGTACTGAAAAAGGTTCATGGGGGAGCAAAATACAGATGTGCATACCCGGCGATGCACAAATGTCAGATGTGAGAGTTTGAAGATGCGTACGGTGATGCACGCCGCAAATGTGTCATGGTGCGTCTATATCGACAGAGTGCCATTCTGCAATTATGTGAGGAGTAGTATACAGTAATAATGAATCGAAGTGCAAACTGGCATCGAATCTGATGGTATTTATGCGCTATGGTTGAGGGGAGAGTGGAGATAATAAAGTGTACGCTTCGACCTAAAAATCCGGGAAGGAAACGTTCGACAGAACGAATGTAGCCCAAAATAACGCCGCAATCGAATTGCGAGTCTATGGTTGCGAAGCATTAGTTGTTGAAACCCTTATAGCGCTCAGTCCTGCCGAGTTTTTCGTAGCGCGAAGGGTAGACGCTTTGCGCTTGATTTTTGCTCCATATTTTCAGTGTACAAGAGCACAGAAGTTGAAGCTTTTGGCGTCCAAAATGCCACTTTCAATATTTTTCGTAGAGGAGAATTAATTATTGGATGACGAAGGATCACCAGGGATTTCGCCCACATCAGGTGTCGAGATCATCGTGTTTCGAATAGCGAGCAATGACCCATAGATTTGGGATCGCTGTAGTGATGTAATATCGAATAAGTACAATTCGAAAGATAGTACACGAACTGATGAACGAGCTCAAAATTCTACGGTAGCTGAAGGCAAAGAGGACACCACCCACTAATGATCATTTCCTTATTGGCAGATTATTCATACTATTCAAATGTAGTGTTTTCTGAGAGAAGATTCAAGACGGTCAAGGAAGTCACCATATTTCCTACATACCACAATTGAACATTTTGGTAAAGTGGAAGCGTGATGGCTCATGAAAATTGTAACATTTTAACACATTGACGACATTGAGACGCGGTAACGCGTCTCACTTTGCGCACCTCGTTGGACATTGAGACGCGTTACCGCGTCTCACCCTTATCATCCCTTTTTCTAGGGCATGCGCAGCTTTTTTTCCCGAATTGTTTGTCTCTCTTCTATGGATTAGAACATAACATTATTGTGAACGACATAGGTCATTGTTTGTTCAAATATGCTCCAGTTTAGAAGAAGTTTTCCAAGCTCACCGAAACCGGCGGCTTGGTTCATTAATAGTTTTCATGCTATTCTCATGAACACGTCAATAAAAAAGGGTAGTGAAAGTAAATGCAAATCTAAAGAGACAGAAAAATACATGTTTCACTTGGTATAACCACATCAAAAGAGCTTTTGGCATCCACTACAGATAAAATGACTAAAATTTCCTTTTTCATTACCATTACATGTTCTTTAATCGGAACTTCGTCACTATATACTCTATTACCTTCTACGCATTGACTGTTACTGAGATGTTTTTGTACCACTGGTGCTTTAAAAAGTTATCAATAAAAATTCACGGATCCGAGGTGCGGCGGTCGCACTCGCAAAATCGGCCCGGTCCCACACGGCCAAAAAAGCCAAAACGCGCGCGGTCGTCAATGTGTTAAATGACACCT